TCTTTTGCACATTCAACGGTCATTCATTCAACATTCAGTAGAGGGGAGAAGGAATGATCTGTTTTTAAGCTGTGGGAAGTGGAAGCGTGTGTTCCCTCTGTACAAGGGTAGCTCCCCTGTGTGTTTGGTGGGGGCTTCCTTTGATGATGGCTGGGGAAAGAAGGTCTTTGCTAGCTAGGCCTTGGCCTTGTGCAGGTGGGTCCCGCCTGGCATGCCTTGGGCTTCCCAGGAGATTGGACTTAGGGTGGGACCAGTCTCCAAAATATATTTGCATCTCGTGCAGAGAACAGCAGAGTGCCCGACACTTGTCCTCAACTAGTGCCCCTCACTTAATCAGCTTGGGGCATAAAAATATCACTGCTTTTCATATTCAAATTAAATTAGTCCAAGTTCTAATTTTGCATATTGTGATTAGTGTCTTTTTTTCTTTCACTTGAGCCCTATTTTTCCATGGTAACCTCGGGGAACTAACCCAAGAGGTTACTTCTCATTAACGTTGTCTCTAGTAGTGCTCTTCAGACTAGGCTATGTTAGGAACCGCCTGGGATCTTGCTAAAAATTCACACTCTGATTCAGCAGGACAGGTGGGGTGTGAGGTTCTGCAGGTGATGCTGACGCTTCTAGTCCAAGGACGAAGTTTGGGTAGCAAGGGTTCTCAGTTCTCAGTCCTTTGTAGACCGTGGCACACATGAAAACACCTGTGTGGTGTGCTTGAAAACCTGCTCTGGCTGCCTGAAGCCCCAGATACCTCAGGACTAAGGAAGTCAACATCCCAGCTCACTGCTAGCCCATTTGAGGCACTTTGGAGTGGGCCAAGGTACACCTGCGGAGAGGAGAGAAAATGGCCGACCCTGACAAATCTGATCTATACATGTGGGGCGTGTGTGTGTGTGGGCTCATTCTCTCTGTTGTTGCATGTGCTGCCCCATGATGTGGCTGGAAACAGGCCCCCCTTGGGGCCTAGAGGTGCCCATGCCTGCCAGGAGTGCCCCTCTGATCCAGCCTCATCTCCAGGTGTAGAGAGGGGAGAATAAGACTTTCTCCCCAGTGTCGCAGTTGGCGTGGTCGCCCCTCACCCCGTCATCCTGGGACCCCAGGCTGCACCTCTTCACATGCGTGGCTCTTTTGGTGTGTGTGAGGGGGTGGGGGGTGTGATGTATGCCCATATATGCACAAGTACACACACACACATACACACACACACACACACACACACACGCAGCTATTTTCCATGCGTGTCTGTCCTGCTGAAAAGAGCTAAATCAAAAAGAGTAGGAAGCCTTAGGCACCCACCGTGACCTGTGCTAGTTCTCACACAGCCAGACTTCTGTGTAGTGTGTCCCCTCTGGGCCTTTTTTGTCATCTGTCTTTTTTTTATTTTGGGGGGAAAGAGTCTCACTCTGTCACCCTGGGTAGAGTGCAGTTGCGTCATCCTAGCTCACAGCAACCTCCATCTCCCGGGCTCAGGCCATCCTCCTGCCTCAGCCTCCAGAGTAGCTGGGACTACAGGCCTGTGTCACCACACCTGGCGAATTTTTCCATTTTTTTTTTTTTTTTTTTTGTAGAGGCAGGGTCTCACCCTTGCTTAGGCTGGTCTCAAACTCCTGAGCTCAAGCAGTCCTCCTGCCTTGGTCTCCCAAAGTGCTACGATTACAGGCGAGAGCCACCATGCCCAGCCCTGTCATCTGTCTTAATCTGTCCCCTCCTTCGGTCTGTCAGAGATAGTCCAAAGACTTTTCTATAAGGCAGAACCTAAAAAAAAAAAAAAAAACCCAAACCAAAACCCAATAGGTTCTAGAAGGCTGTTTCCCAGCAAGCCATGGGAGAAAAAGGGGCAAACCTCTCAGCTCAGATAGCAGCCCATTACACCCTTTCTGAGAACAGTGCCTATTTGCCTTACTTTTTACAACTAAAAGGGTCTTCTCAAATGGTTTCCCAGAACAAAGGAAATCTGTTTTGATGTCTCCTTGCTGTAAATAGAGGAATTTGTGGCTTGTAAATGGCTGCGAGCTTTACTAAAATAGCTACGAAGACACGCAGTTGTGTCTGTCTTGGCATGCACCCACTCCCCAGCCACCCCCATCATAAGTTGGCTCAGGAAATGTTTGCTGTATAAAGGAACAATCTTTGGGTGTCCCTGGGCCCCCATCTCTGTCTGGCTGAAGTGCCTCTCCTTTCTCTCCAGGTCCATATTCAAGCCTTTCATCTTTGTCGATGATGTGAAACTTGTCCCCAAAGCACAGTCTCCCTGTTTTGGGGACGATGACCCTGCCAAAAAGGAGCCTCGGTTCCAGGAGAAACCAGACCGCCGGCATGAGCTGTACAAGGCCCACGAATGGGCCCGTGCTGTCCTTGAAAGTGGCCAGGTGAGCTTGGGTTAGGGCAGGTGAGGTCAGCGAGGGAGGAGGCAGGGCGGCAGGTGACATGCCCGCCCGTCTCTCTCCCGCTCTCCAGCAAATCCAGTCTCCTCCCGGAGGAAGCCAGGCTCCCAAGGCCCGTCCTAGAAGGCTGGTGTTAATTTTCCTGCCCACACTCTTGAACCAAATAAACCTAAGCCTCTCCTGATCCTGTTCTGGAACTCAACAGGCTAAGAGGATCTCACTTTCATTTACTGTTTACTTAGCAATCATAGCAATATGCAGTTCTAGTAGGGAGAACTGTTTCACTGCTGTCTAAAATGCTTTGTATACTCTTGCGGGTAAAAAGTTATATTTGATGGCAACATTTTATTTAAAGATGCAATCATATGTTGTTTCAAAAAAGTAATTCTTCAAAAAAGTTTTGGCCGTGGATGGTGGTGCTAATTGCACAACATTGTGAATGTACTTAATGCCACTAAACCTACATTTAAAATGGTAGATTTTATGTTATGTATGTTTTATGATAGTACAAGCATAGTTTTAAGAAAGATTCTCAAGTTCCTAGTTTAAAAAAAGGTAATTCTTCATAGTGCAACTCTCCCCCCAACCCCCGCAAAAAAACACCTTTGGTTAATAAAGTTACAAGATACCAATTTAAACAAGAAAAACACCCAAGGCCGGGCGCGGTGGCTCACGCCTGTAATCCTAGCTCTCTGGGAGGCCGAGGCGGGCGGATTGTTTGAGCTCAGGAGTTCGAAACCACCCTGAGCAAGAGCGAGACCTCGTCTCTACTAAAAATAGAAAGAAATTAATCAGACAACTAAAAACATATAGAAAAAATTAGCTGGGCATGGTGGCGCATGCCTGTAGTCCCAGCTACTCGGGAGGCTGAGGCAGGAGGATCGCTTGAGCCCAGGAGTTTGAGGTTGCTGTGAGCTAGGCTAACGCCACGGCACTCTAGCCTGGGCAACACAGTGAGACTCTGTCTCAAAAAAAAAAAGAAAAACACCCAATACATGTTCCCCAGCAACCAGTATGCCTGCAGCAGCCATTAGTGATGGACTTTTATATAGAATCCAAACCTACATTTTGCCGAAGAGGGGAAAAAAGGATTGTCTAACGTGGTTGTTAGACACTCATCTGCTTCCCCCAGCATTTATGTCACGACTTTAATAGGTCCAATTTGTTCTGAAGAAAAGAGACTCCTTTGGGTTATGTTGGTACATACATTTTATGTGGACCGAGTGAGCTTATTTTCTTATATTTAGCATGATGGATTATATAAAAAGGATATGAAAAGGGTGACACCAGCAACAATCCAAACAAATTCAGAAAGTATCTCAGAGAACAGCAGTCCCACTTTTCATAGAGCTTGCTCTTCTATTCCACCAAAACGACCGTTTGACATCCAAAAAGCACACAGTTATTTTACATCTGTCCTCTTGCCAAACTTCCCCTGGAACCACGAAGGCTGCCTTTGCACTCAGCTGAGTTTTCCCCAGAGCTGTGAAGCTTGTTCCTGACAGTGCTTATTTTCTAGGTGGATGACCCTAAGCCCCAAGTAGACTAACTGTCACTCTGTGGTGTATGGTTTTGTGGCTATTTGGCAACTGGGACGAAGAGGTAGATAGGGCTGTGTGTTCGAAGAGATGAGGCTACTGAGATTGGTGGGTTCCTGGCTTGGGTCAAGGCAGCAGGAAGCAAAGGTGGGTGGGTGGTGAGAGCAGCTTCTCAGTTCTGGGACTTACTGGGCAAATGAAAGCTTTTCACTGTCACCCACCAGAAATGAGTGAGTCCCGTTTGGACGAAGAGATCTCACCATCTCAGAAAAACAGTGAATAGGGGATAGACATGGCATGTGTTTACTCATCCGTCCATTATTTATTCATCCATCAAACACTTTTTGAGAGTGTCTACTATTTCCCCGTCTTTGGAGGACAGAGAGAAGCCTGGTTCTTGCTCCCCAGGAGGTCAAGTTCTAACAGGGGACACAGCCGCATAGGCAGACCGTCACAGGCAGAAGACAATGACTGTGACAGGAATGAAGGCATTGCATGAGGGGGTCCAGAGGAAAGGGTTTTTGAGGAGGCTGAAGATGGGTGGGTGCAAGTAGGCCAAGTGTTGAGGGAGGGAAGGGCCCTCTGGAGGACAAGAGGCCAGGTCAGCAAGAGCCTGGGGTGTCACAAGGGCCTTTCCTGATTGTCACTCAGAGATCTGGGTTTTATCCTGAGGGCGGTGAGGAGCTGCCCGGGTGTTCTAAGCAGGGCTGTGGGATAACCACGTTGGCATTCTAGAGCCATCCCCGTGGCAGTCGTGTGGGACACAGATTGGAGGGGGAGGATGGGACCTCGGGCGGGAAGCTGGCCAGCCTCCCTGGAGGCTTTCAGTGTCCACTGAGATGACCCCACTATTCTGCTGACAGTAAAGCAGCCATGTCCTTCCCCAGGAGCAAGGTCACAAGCTGAGGAAGACCATGCTGGAGCTGGAGAAGCAAGGCCTGGAAGCCATGGAAGAAATCCTGACCAGCTCTGACCCCCCGGACCTCGCCGAAGTGGGGGATCTTTTCTATGACTGTGTTGACACGGAGATTAAGTTCTTTAAGTGAAGTAAGCATTCCCTCTCCCCTTCGTATTTAAAACTTCCCACCTTACTAAATTACCAGCAAAACAAACCACTCTCCTGTTTGAGTAAAATGAGAAAGTTGAGATGTGGCCTCCTTTTCTGCAGCCAGATCGAACTGCTACCTTGTGTTCTGCCTCGAATCTCAAAACGTCCCCTTCTGCAATGTAGGTCCCCTTCCTCCGCAATGTAACCTGTATCCCATTTGCCTGTTGTTCAGTTGTGTGACTATTTGTGGATTTAAGCTGCTATTATTGTGTTTCAGTGACAATGGACACATTAGCCTTTTACGGGAGGACTAGAGTTCATCAGGCCTTGAAAGACAAGCTCCACAATGCCGAGTTGGCGAGAAAAGCAAACTCTTTTGAAGTCTTAGTCTCTCTCTCCGTAGTGGTTTCTTTCAGGTTAACAAAAGGCATTTGTCTGCACACACAGGGCTCTTGTATGTGGCGCTGAGGGAGAACCTGCCTGGCCTCCCTTAACTCGAGCACATGCCTGGAGTGCACAGTGTCTCCAGAGGTGTCTTCCGGGGGACAAAACCAACAGGAGGGAGTAAAGGTGGCTCCTCTCCAATCCCAGATCCTTCCCGAGTCCTGTGATCCCGAAGAAGCTGTCTTCCCTGCCCTGTGGTAGCCCCACAGAACCGTTCCACGTGCAGGAGAGCTGGTCAGCTGTGAAAGCTGGAACCCACCCACTTTAGAGATGCAAAGAGCCACACTGGTGACTTCCCCAAATCACCACGTGGATCACCCAAAAGGCCCAGCCGCTCTGTCTACATAGCGGCACAGCTGCCCAGGCACATGGCCTTGTGTAGAAGTGATTCCGGGTCTGCTACCGGCATCAGTCCGGGATTAATTGGACGGCCCTGTGGCATAGTTCCACCCCACAAGGCCGCGAATCTCTCAGCTAATGAGGGAAAGAAAAGCAGGGACTCTTGACTGTTTAGATTGCAGTTAAAGTAGCTGGAATCTGAGCAGTCACTACATTGGCTCAACAGAGAGACTTTAATTAAACTGATTTGTTTCCAATGTCATGTTCACTTGAAGGATTTGACTTTCCACCAGGGCATAGAAAAGCATGTGAAGAAGACCAGATGGGCTCGGCATTGGGAAGAAAGAGGGCAAGGAGGCAACAGATGGAGGTAGAAGCACTTCTCTGCAGGGTAGCCGTCCACCCCCACGCTTCCTGCTCAGCCCGTGGGTCCGCAAATCTGTGCACTGCCTTCCCCGGGTCTTCCCCCGTATCCTCATAGCTCACATGGCCCAGTAGCTGGGTTCATTCAGGCTGGTAGCTGAAGTGGACAGGTGGGGACGGGGCAGGGGGGCTTACCTTTATCTATCGAAACTCCCAACCCGTCGAGAAATGGGCAGAGATCGTTAGCAGAAGTGTGTATGTTAACATAGCAGCTAGCAGGAGAGCACCGTTGGGCCTAACCCTGTTTCGTCATTCTTGGCAGGAATCTGCCAATGGAAATATGAGTGTCTGTAGTCTCAGAAGTGACTTAGAGGTAGTAACTCCTCCTCAGCAGCAGTGTCGCAGGCCACGAGAGCTGGAGGGGTCCAGCCCCTCAGTACACAGGTGTGAACACTAGGATCAGAGGTTTTATCAGAACAAATATTTTTTCCTACCAACTCTCTAATAACATGGGTATAGGAGTACCGTGAGCTTTTTGCTCAGCAGTTTTGTAAATTCTGTATGTAAAACCGTTAACCACAAATGGTGAGACGTGGGAAGAATATTGCAGCTGACCAAGTTCAGGGCAACCAATAATGGTGGTTTGTAGTTGCTAAGGGCTTTGTGCAGGTTTGGCCCGGGCTTTTGCTGTTGATGAATTTAGGGTCTCCTCGTAGGTGGAGTGGCCATTCTGACAGGGTGAGGTTCAAGGATGATGCAGGTACCTACCCCCTCTCAAGTCCACCTGCTGAGTGGCTATTTAAAGCGAGACGATGTAGAAAGCCACTCTCAAATTTCACTGCATGGTTTCACCTTGGCCTATTACGGAAACATTTCATTAGGCCTGACATGTCTGAGACAACCAAGGTGATTCAGAGTTTGATCAAAAGAAGTCTGGTGAGAATAAATTACACAGAGGCCTGCTCTCATTCCTGTGGGCCACACAAAGGGTGTGGATAACGCTGCCAGCTTTATGCCATTACCCATTTGTGCAGTGGGAAACACACGGCTACTTCTGTTAGGGGACATTGACCTTGGTCAGGCATTTCAGAGAAGGGTCCACTAGAGGGTGTGGCAGCCCTCGGTGGCACGGCCTAGCAGACATTAAGCCGGACGTGGTTGCCCCCATCAGGCGTGGAGGTGGTCCGTGTAGAGTCAGAACTCTAATAATGGCAGTGGGATGGGTAGGGAAAGACAAGAAGAGAGCAAAGAATTCTGCTAATGTGGCTGTACTCACTTTTAGTGACTTTTATTATAAACAGTTGGAAATATGTTGTAGGATTTTTGGCTGTCGTAGGGGGAATTAAAAAAGAAAACAAACAATAAACTCCTGACATTTTGCTTTGGAAAAAATGCTTATTAGATGGATAATTTCTTGACCAGGGATTGCTTTTCTGAAGCCAATATGGGGAAAATAACATTCAAGATGACATATGGAAATAACGTTTAAAGGTCACAATGTGTAAATAGCATCCTAGAATACCATTTGTGTGTCTGTTCAGACTTGAGGGGGCTGTGCGTGCTTTGTGCAGAAGGAAGACATGGCCATACAGGATGGAATATCTCCCCCACCTCCACACCCCATAACCAAACATGAGCTGTCTAGTCTGGTCTAGAAGGTGGGATTTACCATAGGCAAAGACAGCCCAAACACTCAAGGGCAGAGGCTCTAGTGAAAGTAACTTAGCAAAGCAGAACTAGTACTGTTTCATTCTTGGAGGGGCTTTGAAACTTTAGGTAGAATAAAGATATAATCGAAATTATGGAGATTCTTTAGCGCCCAATAACATGAGACCCAGTGTTGTTATTAGAAGGAGGCTTTCTTACAAGCTAACAGAGCAGAGGTATGCCTATTAGATCTTAGCAGTGGAGTTCCTTTATTATTGGGTGAATCATTAGGTATAAAAAAATAACTATCAACCAGGCAAATTACTTTGCTTTCTAACTGAGGTCATCCCACATTGGTACAGGTTTTGTACAACTCTGACTGGCCCAGCAGGGAAGCCTGGTGGGACCAGGGTGTCTGTCATGAAACCACTAACTGCATTCTTGACTGAAGAGTCATCCATCATTTATTGGGAACGTCTTCAGGTGAGCTCTTAGCTTTAGGAAGGAAGCACACAGAAGAGGGAGGAAGAGAGGGAGCCCACCTTGTTGGCCATGCTCCTGGAAGGGAGAAGAGCAGCCGGTCACTCACATGGGCTGCCTCAGGCTACCTTATGCTTCCTCAATGCTGTGGCATTTCATTCCACACAGTCCTAAGTCCCAGCCCCTCTCCCGTGGTTTCTGTCTAAATGTGCTTTATCTCATTAACTCCAAACATCCTGAAATGTCACCTGCAGATTTCTCATGGAAACCAACATGTACATGTTTGCAATCATGTCGTGAGAATTTAAATGTGTTAGATGGAAAATGCTATTGGCAGGGAATAATAAAAAAAATATTTCTGTTTCCTGCAGTGGGAACTGACCGTGTAATCTTAACAGTCTTTTGTACAAGTATCTACAAACGAGATAACGTCCCTATCCAGTGCTTGCCGTTGGAATTGTCTCTAAATGCATCAAGCATACAATAATAAAATACTGAAATTAATGTCCAGTGGCCTCTTCTATCTCATGTCTTGTGAATAAATGTGGGCATCAGTCACAACATAGAAAATGTATGAAAGGGGATGTTTTTTCTGACTGGAATCTTTAAAAGTCAAGCAGTTTAGTAGTTACCTGCATTAGGTACTGTTCCGTGGGTAAATTCACTCTGTAAAACTAAACACAAAACCACAGTGAGGTACCACTTCACACATCAGGATAGCTACCATAAAAAAAACACAAAAAACGGAAAATAGCAAATGTTGGTGAGCATGTGGAGACACTGGAACCCTTATGCACTGTTGGTGGGAATGTAAATGGTGCAGCCACTGTGGAAAACAATATGGATGTTGCACAAAAAATTAAAAACGGAATTACCATATGATCTGGTACTTTCATGTCTGGGTATATACCCCAAAGAATCGGAAGCAGAGCCCAGAAGGATATTTGGACACCCATGTTTGTAGCAGCATTGTTCACATAGCTAAAATGTGGAAGCAACTCAAGGATCTATAGACAGATGAAAGGATAAACAAAATGTGGTATATCCATGCAAGGGAATATTATTCAGCCTTAAAAAGGAAGGAAATTCTGACACGTGCTACATGGAAGAACCTTGAGGACAATATGCTAAGTGAAATAAACCAGTCACAAAAGAACAAATATTATATGATTGTATTTACATAAGGTACCTAGAGTAGTCGAATTCATAGAGATGGAGAGTAGAATGGTGTGGCCAGGTGCTGGGGGAGGGGAGGGGAGAACAGGAGTTACTGTCTAATGGTACAGAGTTTCTGTTTCGCAAGATGAAGAGTTACGGAGATGCATGGTGGTGATGGTTGCAGAACAATGTAGATGTACTTAACACTACTGAACTGAACATTAAAAATGGTTAAGATGGTTAATTTTACATTATGTGTATTTTACCATAATTTTTTTAAAAAGAGATAAAAACCAGTATATAGAATCCAAAGGCTAGAATGTCAGCACAGCTGGTGCTCTCCATGCCAACCACCTTTGTCCTAAAGCTTTAGCAGCTCCACAACAGGACAAGATGCCACTTAAGAAAAAGGCCAACCCTCTCCACTCATGGCCCAGAAGTGCCAGATTGCCTCCATGATTCTGCCTCCACTGTGACAGGCAACATGCAAATGAATGTCTTGTTCGTGAATATGGGGACTGAGTCACCTGCAATGAGTGACCCATGTCAAGGTCAGAGTAGAGGACTGCCCCATTCATAGGACGAGGCATTCCTAATTCTATAGATTCTATTCCCAGCTCTCTTTTCACAGACATAACACACTCCTGCGAAGCTCCAAGGGGATGGAGCGTGGGTTAGTTTGCTAGAGCTGCCGTAGCAAAGTGCCACACACTGGGTGGTGTAACCAGGAGAAATCTCTTGTCTCACAGTTCCAGAGCCCAGAAGTCCAGGAATAAGGTGTCAGCAGGGTTGGTTCCTTCTGAGGGCCAAGAGGAACCTGTCCGTGTCTCCAACACGGCTTGGTCGGCCCGCTGGCATCGTCAGCGCTTCCTGGCCTGTGAGAAGCAGCATCTCCATCTCTGCCTTCACTTTCTCCATGTCCAAATGTCCCCATTTTATAAGGACTCCAGTCATGTTGGATTAAGGGCCCGCCCTACTTCAGTATGACCTCATCTTTAATTATATCTGCAATGTCCCTATTTCCAAGTAAGGTCACCTTCTGAGGGACTGGGGGTTAGGACTTTAACATGAATTTTGGGGGGATACAATTCAATCCATAATAGGCAGGTTCCTGCAGGATGCCAAAGCCTCCTGGGGAAGTGTCTGAGAATTTGGAACTTGCTTCTGGCGTCCACAGCCCTTCCCATTAAGTTGCTCCCCTTACCTGTCTAGAGACCGCCTCTCCCATACCAAACTCCATAAGGGGTACCTGGAATCATGGCTACTTCACCACCCACCACGGTCAACGGTCAATGTGACTTTGCAGTTCATCATCCACTTCATAGATTATCTTGGGCCCTTGCTGTTCTTCCTCACTTACTCTGTCCCTTTTGGTCATTTAAGAGCTTACCTGTATCTCCACCAGTAAGAGAAGAGAAAAAACAAGTCAGCCCCTTAACTAATTCTGATGCAAAGTGTGTAGTAACCAGCTTTGAAATTAGTTTCTAGATGAGATTTATTTTGGGAACATCTATGAATTTTAATTGCTGCTATGTCTTTGTTATCCAACAGCAGAGCCAGTCAAGTATGGTCTGAGCAGCTCAGCAAGCCTCTAAATGGAATGCCTGGGATGCGGCCAGCAGAGCTTGTTTGTGACAGAGCGTGGAATCAGCAAACTGGCTGCTCCCCAGGGTGTGGGGTGCCCGTCACCTGGCTCTGTTTGTGATCCAAGGGTTGAGGGTTTACCCACATGTTATGTCACTGAATCTTCATCAGTATACGCTCAGGTACATATTTATGTCCCCATTCGACAGACGAGGATACTGAAGCACAGACCAGTTAAGTAATTTACTCTCTCCAATTTGTGAAAGGCAAAACAAGTTTAGATCCTTGTCTGTCTTCCAAGCTCTACTTCTGAACCAGCGTGCCTCGCAGAAGAACTTCCCCTTCCCTGTACCGCGTTCCATAGTCCACCTTAAAACACTACAATGGAGATTGAGATGATTCCGCCTCATACAGGAGGATTTTTTGAGGGATTTGCTGGGTTAAGGGGGTCTAAAAATTGTTCCATTTTATTACAAGTTAGCAGAATTTATAAGCAATACACTGCCCATTTTGTACTAATAGAACAATAGTGTTACCTACTTTAAAAAACACATCCGAGAAAGTTTTTTTCCCTTGCCTTGTTTTCACAAATACCCATTAGGTTAGTCAGCTTAAGAAAGGCCCCGTTTCTAACACAGTATGTTACAGCAAGCTGTGTAGACAACCACTTCGCTCTGCCATTCTTAGAAGCCCTCCTAATCCTTAAACATGCTTGGCTTAGACTGGTACCAGTGACCGCTGATGGGTTTAACAAGGACATGACTGGAAGCATTTTCCACTTATTAAAGTTTATTAGGTACAAAGAAAAGAATCTGCAGAGGGAGACATCAATAAATATAAAATACATGTGAAACACCGGGGCAGTCACAGACGACAGTGTCAGTGGGAGTACGTGAACGTGGCAGGGGGCTCTGCCACTCAGACGCCTCCACGTGTGAGTTCACGGTCGAGAAACCTTCCCACCCCGAGGAACTCAGCGCGCCAGCACGAGCTCAAGGGTCGTGAATTCAGCGATAGGTCTCGAGGAGAGACGTGATGCCAGATTCCTGAGATTTCTCCCTAATTGCCGTTTTTGGTTTCTGCTCCGTTCCTTCCCTCTGTCCTTAAATGGTTTTATTTTTAATTTCTGTCTCAGCTGTACGGAACATGAATGTATAAACACCTCATCAGGGCGGGCAGTCTACTCTGAAGGTGGAATCGCCTTTGTCTAGGGCCTTCTTAATCATGATAATTAAAACGTTTGTAATTATTCTACACCACTGGGAGGGTGGTGGAGTGGATGCTGTTACAATAAAGAAATCCTGACCTTTTGGAAACCTTCTAGAACCAACAAATCAGTTATGCCCAGAGCTGATGACCTGTAAAAGCTTATTTTCCATGGATTTAACTGTTGCAATTTGATTTGATTCATTCCCCAGGGAAGGGAACTTGACCCTGGTTCGCTTGCTTCTATCTGGAACGAGAAAGTGCAGCGAGAAAGTGCAGCACTGATGTGTTATTAACAAGACTCCATCTTCGTGTTTACTCCAGACAACCCCTAGGTGTGTGTGGTCACCTTTGCCCACACCCTCCTAACGGTCTACCTTTCTGGATGGCTTGGTCTGGACACGAGATCCTTCTGGTGCGAGCGCCTGAGTGGATTGTTCCAAAACAAACATTTTTCACTGGTCTCCCTCCTTCCCCTCCCAATATCCTTTAATCTACAGCTATTTGGAGCACAGCCCAGGGATCAGTCTGTTTCCTATTTTCTCTCCTTCCTCTGTCAAGCCTTCCCCCATCAAAGATAGGGAGCATTTGGGGTCAGGCAGCAAACAACAAAAACACACTCCACTCCCCTGCTGGCTCAAGGAAAGAGTGTGAGGGGCAGTCCCAGCCAGCCTGACCTTTCTACACTCTGGTGGCTGGGCTTGCACCCATCTCCCTGGCAGAGGCGGCCGCTACGAGGGAATGAACAGGGAGCTGTCGGCCAGTGAGGTTCTCCTTTAGCTCAGGGGGCACCAGGTTTTGCCTGATGGGTGGTTCCAAGGTTCCTAAAGGTCGGGATGTGGCAACAGATTTTCGAAGCAGGTATTTCACAAGCTGTTTCCTTCTATACTTTTTCATGTCATATTTTCCACGGAAATCCCACACTCGAGTGGAGGCAGCGGGGGAGACCTCTGAGATTGAATTAGTACTTCACTATAATGAGTTGTGTATGCTTTTAACCCATAGGGAAACAAATACCGAAATCTCATAAAGCTGACCTTACCCTGGCTACCAGGATGGGGCTGGGAACTTGGAGGGGACAGGAGGAAAGTGACGGAGACCTGGGCACTAGGGACACTGTAAACAGTAAGAGCATTGGCTACTTGTAGGATTGTTCAGTGACAAAAGGGGCCCTGCGGTCGGCATTGGAGGGGCTGAGCCCACTCTTGCCTTTACTTTGTGATATATTTACATTAGGCAGCGAAAAAACATCCCTGTACTGCAAAACGGAAGCGAGATGTGGCATCTCGTTCACTGGAGGCTGCGTGGCATTGTCTGGGTGTGGGGGACACACTACTTCCTCTGAGCTGCGTCATTTGTAAGGCATTATTTGGTTTGATCTTGCAGTTGGTGCAATGAGAATATAAAATCATGCCAATAAGAAGCCGTGTGGATACTTCAGACTTTGGGACTCCTGCAAACTAAGGATGCTCTAAAAACGGTTCAGAATCTAGAAGGGGCCAGCCCGCAAGCATATTCACAGTCATGGAATGGGCCTGTGGGGGGAGGGACAGGCTTCTATCTGTACTGACATACGAGTGCCAAGATGTAAAAAATGGTGGGTGTTTTTAAAAATATTACTCAAATAAAAGTCGACTAAAATACTGCTTTGAAGCCCGTGCAAACCACGTATTTACAATAAATGAATGCTCTATTCAGAGCCTGTATGTCAACTGAATTACAGCTGGAGCATGGTGGAGGCATCTGACATGTTCTCCTGGGGGTGCCCGTCCTGCCATCTGGAACCCAGGACCTTGGCTTCATCTGTCTTCTCACCGGAGAGTCTTCAAAGATAACTGTGGAAACAGGACAGAACATTACGGGGTGGGGTTAGAAGACTCTTGCACACAAAAGATCCCCGCCTGCCACCCAGGGCTGCACTGCAGCTTCTCCTCGTTCATGCAAGGCTGCCAAGGTAAGGGAGACACATATGCAAGGAGCTGATTTTTCTCAAGGGGTCGTGGTAGAAAAGGGATGCAATGGGATATGTAGTTGATGGTATGTGAGGACCTGAGGCTGTCTGATAAACATTTATAGGGCCAAGTATCAGCAATTCACTTGATAGCAATTTGCTTCAAAGAATTTGCTGAAGATCCAGAGTCAAGGCAATGAAAAAGAGAGAAAGGAACCCAAGCCTTCCAGTCCGGGGCTCCCACACACACACTGATCACTATATCCACAAAAGGAGAAAGCATGCCTGAGGTTACTATTTGCAATGTCTAGAACTCAGTGATTTCTCTGAGTGATTGCTCTGTGTTTCACTGCAGTGAAAATGAATTAAGATGTATCCAGCGAGACATAAAGAAGATCTTCTTTAATGTGGAATGCCCAGAGGAGACCTCGCAGTCCTTCCCTGACCACACTGTTATGGACAGAGATCAAAACCACCAGTCTCAGGTGATTTCGGTGTGTGCCTGCCATGAGGCTGGGGACACAGTGTTGCCACATTGACGATGAGGAAGACTCTCGTCCCTGGAGACTGACATGCCAGGAAAAGCAGTGAAGTACAGGGGAAGGAACTCTGGACGAGAGATCAGAATGTCTGGGCATTGTGACATTGGGCAAGTTCTCTTCAACCTTCTGGAGTGGTTTTCTTTTCTTCAAAAATGGCTTTATAAAGGTATCTCTCCAGCTTCCATCACAGGGTTATTAAAAGGGTCAAATGAGAACATATGCAAGCTAGCCCAAAAATGTAAAGAGCCAGGTAAAATATAGGGGACTATGATTATGATTACTACCATATTTTTCTGATTGCAGGAGTAATATATTCATTGTAGAAAATTTGGAAATTGCAGAAACACACAAATAAGAAAGTAAAAATCAGCTATAATCTTGTAAAGTGAATGCCTAGCAACAATTTTTTTCCTCCAATTTTTTTTTTGCACCTTTGTCTGTCACATAGAAATCTGAAACAGGAGGTGGCCAGTGCAGGACTGACTATGATTTCAAAGAAAACAAAGGACTTTTAAAGATGAGATCTTATCACACGCAGTGGGAGATGTCATCTCTGCCTGGGTCAGGAAACACGTCTGTCCGAGTTGCCCTGGGTGAGATGAAGGGTGTTTCTTCAAAGAACGTCTTATCGCACTGCACCTGTCTGGCTTCCCTTCTAGCTCTGTCAATTTCTTGTAGCCACCAGGACTTGAACTGTGACTAAATTTGGTCAAAATCAATTATAATAATATAGATGGGGGAAAAAACTCCAAGACTGCTGAAAGAAACCATGTATTCTATTTATGAGCGAGAACAGCGAATTATGTTTTATAGATGTTGTGAGTTTTTCTTGCAAGCCTTCCTAAGCAGGGCAGACTGGGGGTGACAGGGATGATTGCTGCAGAAAGACTCCAAAGGGCTTCTGAGTTGCTAAATTCGCTTCTATATGTGGCGGTCATTCCAGGGAAGCCCCCATTCATACTTCACGATTTTGACATTATGAGTGTTTCGTTCCGGCTTGAAACAAAGGCACACCAAATGGCTTTCCCTGAGGAAAAGCAGTCTGAGGAAGAAGGTTAAGCTGTTAAGGAGAGAGCACACCCTCGGCATTTCTGTGCTCCCTGAGGAGAATTCCTGGTTTTGCATTCAGACTCCAGAGGGATGTGTTACCTGAGAATTTCTGCCTTTGATGTCATCAGAGCTCTGCGTGGCTGCCTCGGCCTGGAGCCAGGGACCAGGTGTACGGCCTGAAAAAACAAGAACCATTTCACCATCTATGAGCCCAGGGACTGGCTGTGCACGCTTCACAGAGAAACTTTCGTTAAACCAGCACTTAAAGCAACGGCAAAGGAACGAAAGGTAACGTGAGCCCATCCACCTGAAACCTCCGGGCTCCTGGCCCTAGACTGCGTGTTTCCACCCCCTGTCTTCTATGTCACAGACCGTGGATGGTGAGGAGTCAGGTCTAATGCACTGTGAGGAGAACAACTTACTAAGGCCTAGCATCTGCATGCGTGTTAAGGGGTTATTTACTCAAAACATACCACCATCTCCAGGTCTGCTGAGGGATGATTAAAAAGTTGGTTAGAGTTTGAGCTCAGGAGTTCGAAACCAGCCTAAGCAAGAGCAAGACCCCGTCTCTACTAAAAAAATAGAAAGAAATTAGCTGGACAACTAAAAATATATATTAAAAAAATTAGCCGGGCATGGTGGCACGTGCCTGTAGTCCCAGCTACTCAGGAGGCTGAGGCAGAAGGATCGCTTGAGCCCAGGAGTTTGAGGTTGCTGTGAGCTAGGCTGACGCCATGGCTCTCTAGCCCGGGCAACAGAGTGAGACTCTGTCTCAAAACAAAAAAACCACTACATATTGCACATTTAGTCGTTGCCAGGTACTGTGCCAAAACTTTACATGTGTTTTCTTCTTTGAGCCTCATCACAGCCCTGTGAGGTGGGCACCGTCGTTGTCCTCAGGTGAGGACACTAAGGCTCTGCTGTTACATAACTTGTCCAGAGACACCCGCTGGTTTAGGGTGTGGCCATGTGCTCTGCTGTGTTCCCTGTACCTGGGGATCCAGAGAGTGTCACAGATATGTTTTCCAGGGATTTGGGGAGACAGGCTCCAGCTCACCACATGATGATCCTGAGGCCAGCTTGTGCCAAGCCAGGGGTGAGCACAAAGATGGCCTGGAAGCAGAGCACGACACAGTGCCCCTCTCCGGGGGTGAAGATTTTCCACCTTTGCCCTCCCTCCTGCGGTTTCTGTTTCTACCCTTCACACCCCAAATAAAATAGCTTTTCTAAAAAAAAAAAAAGTTGGTTAGAAAAGTAAAAGTAACTGCTGATATAAACAGGACTTATGTTTCATGAAGATCCAAATAATTCTCTAAAATACATTATGTTTAAATATTATACAACTTATAATGCATATGAATATATTCTCAGTTAAGAATTCAAAGAATACAGAAGAAGATAATGAAAAAAAACCCCAAGTTCCCTCCGCCTGTCCCTTCCCTAATCTCAATTTTCTATCCCGAATCACCACGGCTAAAAGTTTAGTGTTTATCCCTCCAGATTTTTTTTTCTTTTTCCCATTTACTTACACATATTTGCATATATACAGATATATGGTTTGGTTGGTCTACCCAAGTTTTAAATCTACATTCCCAGGTGTTCCAGCTGAATGGTGTCTCCTGGGATCTCCTCTGCTGTGTTTGGTACGAGACTTTTCTGTTTCTGTCCTGAACAAGGCATTAAATAACTATGTCTCAAAGTCCCCAGAAGAATCCAAGTTGCTGTGCTACTTAAATAGCAATATGAAAAGCATAAATGTTCACCACAGAAAATTTAAAACAATGCAAAACAGATAACCTATGTTCAACTAAAGTTTTTAGTTAATACAGGGTTCAGCATCGTATGATGGCACACTAAGCAACTGTTTGAACGTTTACAAAGACTCCTTTCGGGAAGATGAAATTGCATAAATAGAATGACCTCAACTATTTTTAAAATTCATCAAAGAACCCATAAATAATATACTAAAATGTTTCCTCCTGGGTAGCAGAATTACCATTTTAAAAAAACACTTTTCAAATTTTCTTCAATGAACATATGTAAGTCATCATAAACATCTTTTAAGATAAGGTACATGTTTTTAAACAAACTATCATGTAGAAGAGTATCTGAAACTTTCAAAACATTAATCAAATGGACACTGTCATTTTCATTAAAAAATTTTTTAAATTAGTGAGTGCACTTGTTCTAGAATAAAGATATCTTGGACCAAAAGACAGAGGCAGTGCCAGATTTTTAGCCAGTTTATTAACTGCGTAAAAAGTAAAAAGACATTGATATACAACCCTGATCTAATTTCATATGAGAAGATAACCTTGGAAATTACTGTTCTTAGATTTAAGAAACTCCTGTCTTCTACAGAAAAACCTTCTAGGCAAGAGTTTTGCAACCTTGGCTTTATTAACATTTTGGACTGAATAATTCTTCATTTGGGGGCTGTCCTGTGTGTTGCAGAATGTTTAACAGCATCCCTGACCTCTACCCTCTAGATGCCGGTAGCATGTCCACACCCACTTGTAACAATCAAAAAATGACTCCAGACATTGCCAAATGTCCCCTGGGGGGCAAAATCATCCCTGTTTGGGAACCACTGGGCAATAAAACAGGCTTCACCATAGGTAAACAGTTCCCACCAGTTCTCATAAATATGAACAATAGCAGAGAGGTTAAAGGAGAATCAATTTCTTCATAAAACAGAAAGGCAAACTCTGTGTCTTATTATATATATATATATATAAAAATTCACTCCTACTGGAAGTGAGTGGCCAGGACTTAGCCACGGTTATTTAGAGTACTTTTAATCCAAATATCTCCTTAGAGGGATTTTCCCTTGTGAGATGCCACTAGAATCTCTTAGAACTCAAAAAGTAGAGCCATTCTGCTGAAGCAGCCCTTCACACACGGGCTGCTATCCCACAGAAGGGTGTTCCAGAGTCACCAAAACAGCGGCTTCCAAATTTGTGGCACTGTAACTCCTAGTAAGAAATAGTGTTTACTTCTCTCCCCAACCTCAAGCACCTACTGCTCCTCCAAAGCAGAATGAGTGAACGTTGTTGCTGTCTCCTGTAAACAGATGGCCCCTCTTCCCTCCCATTAAAATAGTTGCGGCTACAAAACTGGTTGAGCCACTTGGTACAGAGCAGCCTGCTATGAAAGATTCTCTACACTGAGGGACTTAAAGAAGAAAAGTGCTTGGGCTGAAAGAGCAGAAGCCGGGGGGCCAAGCTGGCTTCCAGCCTTATATTTTGTCATTTGTAAATCAAGCCAGCCCTGTATCTGTTTTTTCCAGGCACAGAGAGATTTTCATGTCAGAAAACAAAAATCCATTTTGTAGCCAAGCAACAAGAGGATGAACACTGCAGGACTTGGAGAATGTCCCAAAGGATTTACAAGCCTGGCTGCCCGTGGGAGCAGGGTCTCTGTGAGAGCCTGGGTAGGATGCCTACCAGCCCTGGGTGTGGTTCCTGTGAGCCAGGAAGGCGGCTTTCGGAAAAGATGGGCTCCTGTGAGAAGCAGAGCTGTCGGCTCTGGCCCGAAACAGCCTGTCCAAGCTGCGCTCCATCCTGGCATGAGAGTGAAGAGGCAGGTGACGTGGTGGGAGCACTGGGCTGGGAGCAGAGAGCCTGGCTCTGGCTCCTCTTTGCCACAGCTGAGAACAGGGGCAGGTCGCTTTACTTCTACTTTGGTTTCTTCGGCTGTATTTGAAGGACCTGGGCTGGACAACCTCAAAGAGCCTTTCCTGTGCTTACACTGGAGACTTCTTACAATCTCTAAGTGAAGGGTAGGGCAAGTTTCATTGGAAATGATAATTCTAGTACCTGCCAGATCTACACCTTAGAAATTGCACGTCTTTTCCCTCATTCCCCACTGTTGCTGTGGTAGCTGGTATGTGAGCCACCCACGACTCCTTCCTCACCCGTACCCCTCTGTAGAGAACTGAGCCCACCCAATCCCTGAGAGAGTCACCCTGCAAATCCCAGGGCCTCACCGCCCTCTCCACAGGTGCTCAGATCTGGGCTGGGCTAATTATATTCCTCTCTCCATAACTTGTGATCCAAAATTAGTTTTAATGATTATTAAAAACAATACCCACTTATTATAAAAACTTGGACAAATTAGCAAAGAAGAAAATGAAAATCACCCAGCAGTCAACCACTGAGTGATAACCACTTTTAACATTTTGGTACACATATTTCTAGTCTCTTCTATTTTATCAAATTCTCCTTTTTTACATAGATATACAAATTAATTTATTTTTTTAAAAAACTTGGGTTTTATGTACTTTTTTGTATACTTTTTTTGGTATTGCTTTTACTTAACAAGTTAGTGTAAACATTTCCCCATGTCACTAAATATTTGACAGCACTGTTTTAATGGTCGCAGAGTATTCCACTGTGTGGCTCTGCCTTCATTTACTTAACACCATTGTTGGAGTTTGTGCTATTTTCAAATTTTTCACTGTATAAATGGTTTAGCAATGAATGTATGAGGAAAAATTTTTATTTATTAATTCGACAAGCATTTATGGAGTGTCCGCATGCCTTGCTCCATTCGGGAGCTGGAGATTAGCCAGTGAATGAAAACTGAAGGAGTCCCTGACATTTAGGGCCTTCCACTGTACTGGGGAGACAGACAAGGGCCAGGCAAATAAAGTCAAGAAGTGATAAATACTTTGGAGACAATTAGAAAACAGTGTGATGAGAATAAAAGTGACAGGGCAGAGAAAACTATTTTATGAAGGGTGGTCAGGAAAGACCTCTCTGGTAAGGTATTGCTACACTCTGAATTGCGTCCCCCCCAAATTCGGATGTTGGAGGCTTTAATGCTCACTGTGAGGGTATTTGGAGATATGGCTTTTAGGGGATAATTAGGTTTAGATGAGGTCATCAGGGTGGGGCCCTCGTGATGAGATTAGTGCCCTTATAAACCGTGACACTGGAGAGCTTGTTTTCTCTCTCTTCACCCTGTGAGCACACGGTGAGAAGGCGGCCCTCTGCAAGCCAGGAAATGAGCCCCTCCCAGAAACAGAACTGCCTGGCACCTTGATCTTGGATTTCCCAGCCTCCAAAACCATGAGAAAATAAATTTCTATTGTTTAAGCCACTCAGGCTATGGCACTTTGTTATGGCAGCCTGAGCTAAGACAGGTACCATCTGATCAAAGATCCAGAGGAAGT